ATGTCACTACACTTTGGGCGCGACACACTGGCGGTATATCAACACCCCTGCGGACAAAGCATTTTTCAGAAAGCACGGTTCACAAGCACAGGCACCACAGATATAATAATAATACATCAACAGTTTCACAAAGGTATGCACTAACAAGCAAAACATTACCAAAGTTCATAAAACAAAGAGCACTGGTAAAAACAAATAAAACATAAAAGGCAAAAATGGCAAAATGACAAAGGTTTAAATGGGTACTGGCCAGACCTAAAGCACATGTAAAATTTAAAGAACAATAAAAATACATAAAATGAACCCTGAGAAAATCAGAAAAAGAAGCAGTAAAACCTGCTAAAAGCAATACAAGTACCCACTAAAAAAATAAAAAAAAAACAGTAAAATGAAACGTGAGAAAATAAAAGCAAGATGCAGTAAAACCTGCTAAAAATACAATTACCCATAAAAGTTAAAGTGAACAGCTAGAAACAAACCCAATAAAACAAAAAAATTACCCATAATAAGTTAGAGTTGAAAACTAAAAGAGAACAACCCCATGAAAATTAAGTAAAAGAGTAAACGCTAAAACCCCATGAAATTTATATGAAACAATTAATATAAATAAAAACAAGGCGTGGGGAGGGAAATACACTAAAACCCTATCCCTCGCTAGCCACCACGAATCTGCAGTGTGGTAAAAGTGTGGGGGCACCGACAATCACCCTACTACAGGAGCTGACTAGTGATCCTCGGACCGTAGAGATGTGGGCATGGGCGTGCTGAAAAGCTGGCCATTTCTATCTCCTACAGGAGTGGACATAAAAACTGTTCATGTGCACGGCTTTATTTACGACAAGCACTACTGCTACTACAGCCTCGGAAATACAGATGAGGTAAGGACAATCACAGGCAAAACCACAATAGTATCACAGTAAATCACAGCACGCGAAAATCAGAAAAATCAGGAGTCCTCCCCAGCCCACACTCACATCTCTCCAAAGTCAAGGTCACCCGCCAACTGCCCTCTGTGGCGACTCCATGGTGCGTCACGGCAGGGGTAGCCAAGTATCCAAATTGTAAGAGAGTAGGTTAAACGAGCTCCTATTAGACCCAAAACTTACTATATGTCGGAGGTGTGGCGTTTATAAAAAGGGCAAAGGCTTGCCAAAAGGGCATCAGAAAAAGGCATTAAAATAAAAAGTGAACACCCCAAGTGGGCAACACGACCACCCGTTCGCATAAACGAATCCAAATTCGTGTAACTAATAATACGTAACTCTACACCAAGATTGTATAAAGAATTGCTGTTAATGAATCATTTGTGAGATTTTAGGATTCTTGGGATTTCCTGGAGATTTCCGGATTTCCAAAGAATTTCTTAAGGATTTCCGTTTTTTTTGGATTTCCAGGTGGGGTGTATGGGAATTTCTAAATAAAATGCCCATCGCATGGCGATTCCGCCTCCACCCCTACCCTCTCGATCCTTCCGACACGGATGGTAGTTCCTCAGCGAAACTACGCCATCAGAGACAAGCTGTGTCAAATGTGTCTCTTGGAGAACAATAATATAGGGAGCATAAGACGAGGCTAATAATCTAAACTCATTCACTCGTTCTAAAACCGACAGTTCCATTGTATAATTAACGCGATTACGTTTTGGGGGTTTTGAAGTGCCTTGTCCGTTGGTCTTAATATTTTTTTTTTTTTTTTTCCTGGGAGGGAGGCGCTTCTTCTCCTGAGCTTCCCGGGGACCTCTCGCGGGAAGATTTGGAGCCAGAAGCCTCCATGTCCTGCGTCTCCTTGTGAGGGAGACGACGGTCAGAGTGCGACTTACTTCTCTCTCGAGAAGCTGACTCGCTTGAGTCGTCCGGACGGGGAGCTGCGATACTGATTGTGATTCGGTATCAGCCTCCTTAAGTTGTTTTTGCTGGGTTGATTCAGACATTTGATTCACCAATGTAATCAGATGATAGACTATTTAATTTTTGACAGTGTGCTAAATTTAATCAATTTCTTTATCTTCAGCTGCAAGCTGTTGACTGACATTACTTACACTAAGAGTGACGTTAGTTACTGCTGAAATTTAGGAATTATCGGGGTTTTGCGTCAAACATTCCAATTTCTTAGCTTCAGCAGAACTACCCTCATGTGTTTTTTCCTACATGTAGCAATGTCTCAATCTCCAGCAGGTTGCTGCACTTAGCAGAGCCTGACTGATGAAGACCTACACAATTAACACATTTGAAATTTTTACTAGTACATGTAGTGGTGTCGTGAGCTTGAGCACATTTACGGCAAGTGACTATTGGAGTCTTTTTGAGTATATCTTAATGAGGCATGTCCAAATTTTTGGCATTTATTAGAATGCATTATTTTTTGGATGTAAGGTGTTGCTTGGACACCTTCATATCTGATACTGACATATTCAGGGATCTTTTTTAAAGCAAAATTCAGAAATCACAGTCCACTTTCGTTCGCACATTAGCAATGAACGTCAACTACGTCTTGGTCCTTCATGCTTTCGAGAAATTCACTTTTTTCCATCGCCCCCAAA